CACCAGCGTGTTTTGGGCAGTCTACAGGGCAGCAGGACTGGTCTGTGGCCATCTCCTCGCCTGCTGCTATGCGGCTGCGGACCTCTTTTTCTGTAGGGTTCCAAAAGCGACGCTAGACTGGCCGCTGCCGTCTGGCCCTGCATTGTATACAAACGTATGGTCTGCATCCAACTGATCCCTTTCTCTCACAACACTGCATCTTCAGTGGGTCCGGCTCACGGTCGACCGCGTGCACTGCCTTCTCAACAAGAACATCCTGGATCCTGGATCTTTGTGCAATCCTCTCCAATACCTGCCAAAACCCCTTCTGATCCCTTCTACTTGCCCTGAGAAAACGATCATACTGAATCATACTCCACCATCCCTCGGACCAAAAACACCCGACCACAGACACGTGGAGTCGATCTGCCCCAGCAGCGGACGTGGGTCCACGGACATGGGGCCATTGTTCGTGCGCGGACCGTCCAGGGTGGAGGAAACAGGTTATTCAACGCGGTATGTTCTTTTCTTCTATCCTTCCTGTTGGTACGAAAGGTGTGTCTTAGTGATGCCAGTTCTGAAGAAGGTGATGAAGAACGAACATCTAGAAGAACACAATTGTTTTCTCCAACAAAACACATCTTGCTCCAGTTATGGGTGGACTGTGGGAAGAATTGCAAAGTGTTGCGTGATTGGTGTAGCATTAAAGCTCTTTCAGTCTTTTTACAGTGCCATATTTCATCTGTGTCCACTTGCTTGATTGAAGCACACTCATGACACCGACGGAACCTGTTCCTGTAACAAGGGGGTCGGCGGCACCCGGGCGTTAGCCCATTCTATATACTACTATATAGATCTATATAGTATATTTGTATATTTGTTCATTCTGCTCTCTATTTTCCTTGATTGCCATCCAGTTTATCGTTAAAGCATCTGCATTCGTCCCTGGAAATCAGTCATTTTGACGTGGAGTCCTCTGGACCGAGGGAGTGGACATGCTTGGCATTGCTGGCGCCTGCTATTTGCATTTCGCGAGGTGATGAGAGGTAGCTGCAAACCTGCGCCAAGCAGGTTTGAAATGCTTCAAGTGACATACTTTAATCTCTCATGGACACAGGGATAACAAACATTCAGAAACCCATCCATTGCTTCTTCCTGTCCCAAGCAAATACGCTCATCCGCACTGGGGACAATGCTTTGGCCAAAACTCAAACACTCATAGCTAACTTGTAGATAAATCGGATATGCTCGGATGTCAAAGAAAGGGGTTGCCTCTTCTCGCCATTTCTTTCCAGCACTTTTGGAAGACTCTGCCTGCGGCATGTCGCACTCGGTCCCTCGAGTCTCTTCGATGTTGGCGGCGAAATAGGCGACGTCTCTTCCATCTTCTAAGCACAACGTTCTCCGGGGCGGTTCAAAAATAGAGGTGTTCAAAACAGAGCGCCTTGTTGAAATGTCACAGCTCATTGGAACATGTTGGGCTGTCCAGAGACAGTCGAACCTGATCCCACCTCGGTTGAGGAGCCCCAGATCCCACCTCGGTTGAGGAGCCCCAGACGCCACCAGCAGCTGCAGAGATCTTCTTGGACTTTGCAAGTTCCTGGCAAGGCTGCGCAAAAAGTGTCGCAAGCATGCTACCACATGGACTACAATGTCTACAAGGCTTGAAGATCATGCATTTGAGAGACTAGTGACTAGTGACTCTGGGAGTCTCAACTGCTACAGTAAGGTTTGAGGAGCTTATGAAAATCTGAAAGCATTGACACCATACGGACCATACAAGTACCGGGTGACCGGATGATGCAGCAAGCCTTCTCCACCATAGTGACCTCAGATCGTGTCTCACTCTCTCGATTCGGAGTCGACAAAACACGGTCAGCACTTGCGCAGCAGTCCGGGTGGCAGCCCTCTCTTTTCACACGAACAAGGCCTTGAGCAGGCGGGTCACCACCTCTGGCGTGGCCTGCAACCATCATGACCATGCAGCTACGCCGTGCACTGACCATGGTTGACCCACTGTCAATCACGGGCTGACTCGCGCTTCGGCCTCCAATCCAAAGCGATTCGGTTGAGCTGCCAGCATCAAAGCAGCGCTTTTCACTGCGGCCAAGCGTGCCAAGTCACCGCCCGTCGTAAGATGTCGCTCCAGGTCTGGACCAGCGGAGCGGCCGAACTCGGTTTTCCGTCTGTGTGTGTGTCCACTCCTGTTTCCAAGGACACTACTCTAGCTATTTCTATTCCTATGACTTTTCAGACCTTGTACAATAGCAGGGGGTGGTAGCAAGGCAGAGAGTCTACCACCAACGAAGACGCTCTCTAAGCCTTGGTGATACTGGGACTGATCATCCCAGCGTACCTGCACAATTCAATTTTTAGTTTTCATTCATTCGATGTTTCAACAATTCTGTTCGACCGACCCAGCACTTTCTTTTCAGTCAAGGTCTAATCTGCAGTAACTCTAAAGGGCTAATGCACACCGCGAAGCAGCCTGAAATCGCGCTCCACGGAGCAACCTTCTCAAGTGTGTCTTCGCAGCTTCTTCCCACTGTGGTAAGCTGTGTGATCCCTACGGGGCGCCGTTACTGCAAGAACCTTTTCACTCCTCACCGCAGGAGTAAGTCTTCCTGAAGATTTTCTGAAGTTTACTCGACTGAATTTTCCTGTTTGAAATCAGCTTGATTGGAATGTCTCACCTGGCACACGTGAAATGTTACTGCAGAGTTCACTGAATTTTCCACTGAAATATACTGCAGAGTTCAACTGAATCAGTTTCACACCGGAGAAGTCTTTTCCAACTTTTAATTTTTCACTGCGCCGATTCGGCTTCACTTCGCTCATGAGAGCATTTACCCCACCCTTCACCCCCTGCACCTTTTCTTGTTTTTCTTTTCTTTGCCTTTTCGTTTGTTCCTTCCTTCAGGCTTTTTAGGTATTATCCAGGCTCGTTTAGTCAACGCACGCCCTGCCTGCCCCCCGCACCCCCTGCACCTTTCTCTTCTTTCCTTGCCTTTTTCGTTTGTCTTGTTCTTTGCTTCAGGCTGGTTAGGTGGCATCCAGGCTCGTTTAGTCAATGCACGCCCGAACACCCCTTCACCCCCCTGGCAGGAAACAGGAGAGAGAAAAAGAAAAAGAAGAAGAAGAAGACGAAGAAAAAGAAAAAGCAAAAGAACACTGCGCCGCGGCGCTACGACCACGGAGAAACAAATTTGATCTACTTGCTCAGGTGTCGCTTCGAGGAAAAGACGATCCGCCAGCAGAGTTACCTTTCTAGTTGCGCCGTGCTCGGCTCATTGTGTGTGTCCACTCCTGTTTCCAAGGACACTACTCTAGCTATTTCTATTCCTATGACTTTTCAGACCTTGTACAATAGCAGGGGGTGGCAGCAAGGCAGAGAGTCTACCACCAACGAAGACGCTCTCTAAGCCTTGGTGATACTGGGACTGATCATCCCAGCGTACCTGCACAATTCAATTTTTAATCTTCATTCATTCGATGTTTCAACAATTCTGTTCGACCGACCCAGCACTTTCTTTTCAGTCAAGGTCTAATCTGCAGTAACTCTAAAGGGCTAATGCACACCGCGAAGCAGCCTGAAATCGCGCTCCATGGAGCAACCTTCTCAAGTGTGTGTGTTTTAGCCCGCTCCTACTTAATAACGTAAGGCGCCTGCTTGATGAAGTAATGGAGGAAACTACTAGCTACTCAAGCTACTTAAGCTACTACATGTGGACGCAGGATAGCTCACGCTTCTTCAAGGAAGCGCTCCCACTAATGATTTGGTTCCTAGATGTTTTGGGAAACTTAGCTTCCATTATTCTATTTGATGGTCTGAGTGTGTGTGTTTGGCCTTTTAGAACAGAGTTTGTGCAGAGGACAAGACCTGTCAGGCTTGGAGCAATCAAAGTGAATGAACTATTTATGTGTGTGTATATATATATAGGCAAGTAGAGTACCTCATCGGTGCGAAAAAACTCTCAGCTTCTGATCGATTGCTCCAGGCCGACCTCGCAGCTGCTGATCTACCTCCGCAGTTTCTTGACGCCATGCAGCCACGAAACTGTGGTCCTGTTCAGGCCCAGCATTTGGCAAGCTTCTGCACATGTCACCCCCCAGAGCCAGCAAACTCAAGAGTTGCCTTGGCGAACTCAGGTTGCTGAGGTTTCCTTTGTCAACCTGCGGATGGTCCTCTTGTGGCACCGGGGCATTCAGCGGCGTCCAGGTGATCTGCACGCCGTCCGTGCGCACACGCATGAGCAGGTGACGTTCCCCCGTGAAGTGGTCGAAAGGCCCAAGACCTTCCAGGGTGAGGCAAACGCCTGGAGAATCCTGATCATCGGACTCAAACGAATCCCTTACATCTCTCTTACTGGCAGTTTGTCACAAGTAGACCACCAAATAAACCTTCCCACCCGGCCTGCTACGGCTTGTACCTGAGTTCAACTTGAAGCAAACCAGGGCTGTGCCTGCTTGCTCGTTGAACAGTTCAGTTGACCCTGATTGTTTGGATACTGATCGTGCCCCCTCTCCTTCAAGACCTAAATAGATGACCGGATTGGATGCCTATGTCCATTCATCACACACTGGGAGCACCTGTGAGCCCAGGATGTCAAAGCTCTGTTGTCACCCACATCTCTAAGTTTGCTGGGAGTCCTCAACCCTTCCCCCTTTCCTCGGTTGGTGCTCCAAAATGCTGCAAAGGCACCCAATGTGTTGGCTCACAGCTTGCAGGTCGGAAACGCGAAGGAGCGCTGGTCAGATCGCAAGAGCCTGGACTCAAAAAAATACATGTCTGAACGCAAGACCACACGACAGACTCGAATGTGCGGCATATCTGTGCAACAACAATAGAATTGATACAAAAAAAGAACCCTCGTTGCCCACAGGGATGCAAGCTCTTGATTGCTGTCGTCCAGCTAGGCAAACTGCACGCGACTAGTTGGGTGCGCTAGAGTCTAGAGAATCTTGGCAAGTCAGCAATGCCCCTCCTAGCTCTCCAATCCCCAAGTCCTTGGTGACAGCCACAGCTGAGCAGTGTGGCGTGGTTCGCGTGATGGTGACATCTGCCAGCACAACTGTCATTGCAAAAAGGAGACAAAGAGTTCCAAAGCTTACATCATTCATCTAATGCCGACTGACCGATTGACATGCAATAGCCTGGGGGGACATGCAATCCCTACAAGAGAACGTGCTCCACTCTGATCTTGGACTAGCTTCCGCTTCAAACCACCATGCGACAGCATTGCATCTGCGGGCATCTGGAAAAAGCTTGAAGTCGATCTCCTGCTCCTTAATCTGAAACAGTCGAAAGTCTAAGAAAAGGCAAAGTCCCTTCGTTTCAGATTGCAAGAGCTAGGCACTGGGTAAATCCAGTCGTTGGAAAACTGTGCTCCCCCCCTGCCCGCCTGTAACGCCTCAATGAGCTCGCCTTGAGAAGCCTCGAAGTTCCTGGGATGGGTAGCGCGCGGGCCATCCATGTGTCGCATCGAGGAGGGTAGACCACGGGCAAAGCTGTTTGGGCCCAAGCCAGAAGGAAGTGGGACTGGAAGCCTTAAAGGAGCGAAAAGGAAGATGAAAACAAAGGTGGACTTGGGCTTCTTGAATACCACTCTAGGGGCTTTTTTTGGAGGCCCCGACACCTTCCTTTATTTAATCAAATTGTAGACCACCAAGTGCATCCTGACGAAAGACACAATGCTACATCACAAAGCACGTGCATCTTCCTTGAGTTCCATCACACGCAAATACACCTTGTGCTGAGGCTCAAGTTGAACAAATCAACAACATCCGACACCTCAGATGCTTGAATAGGTCATCAATTAAAACGAAAAAGTGCCGCAGTAGATCTTCAGCTCACAACTTCCCAATTCGGCCAGGAAGCTGGTTGCCAGTCGGCACCGGCATCAAGATCTATGCCCAACCACTCCCCAGAGCTCGCTCGCGCAGGGACCCAAAAGGGCTCCCATGCGGACAAATCCTTCAAGTCACATGAAGCAAGGCTATCGAATTCAACAGCATGTTGTACTTTTACATAAATCATGAGTCACTATGAGTCAATACTATGAGTCAATGAGTTTCCACTCCTTTCACCATATCTTTCACCCCATCACCTGGGCTTCCCGACGAGGCCATGTCCCTCTCTACTCAAACGCAGATCCAGCAGAGCTGCACGCAGGCGCAGGCTCCTTGGCAAACAGCGGCCGCCTGGCCGCAAGAGCCTCCCAGCGGCGGCTGCTGAGGCGAGGCGAAGACGAAGGAGAGGATCCCAAAGACGCAATCCAAGCAACTTGCAACCAATAACAAGTCGCCTTTAAACTGTCTACTTGAGTCTACTTGAGAATCTTGAGTTCCTCAGCCTGCCCAAAAAACGAGGCGTGAGGCGTGACCACTCCCCAGCGTCCTGCTCTTGGCATGTCGGAGGAAAGGCACGATCTTCTCACCCAATCCACCAGCGTCCAAGAGTTCGGCTACCACCAGATCAAAGCGTTGATCCTCCATATGTTGCACCATTCTCAATTGCTGAGTGGCTTTTGGCCGAAATCAATTTTCTCACATGGCTTCTTTCAGCTGCTTCTGATAAAACACGGCAGAAAACCAAAGCCACCTTGCACAGCTGAGGAGCAATGACACCCTCTAATGACAACAGCGGTCCTCATCCACCATCACAGCACGAATGTCTCCACAAATCACTTTGGCCTAGCCAAGTAATGTGGCGAAGAGCCTTGTAGTGTATTTGTACTCGCACCTTCTCAAAAGGTCCGCAAACTCATGGTCTCTGGAATGTCCCACCTCTGGCAAGAGCCTCTGTGCCAAGCGCGCCAAATGTGGTGCA